GGAGAGTGAAGGCTGTGTGAGGGATGTTGCATGGAAGACGACCTCAGCAAGCTGTTTGCAAGACTCAGCTGTGAGTGGGAATATGTGGATACCTCTGGCACTGCAAGCAGTGTCCCTGCCCTTCTCCGGCCCTTGGTGACAGCATCCAGAGACCAGTCAGCATCTTGGTCCCCAGTTCCCATCGGGGCTCCTCTCTCACTGCCCACTGACCCTGAGAACTCATCCTGCCCTGAGTGCAGGAGAGGCTGGGGCAGGTACCCGGTGAGCTCTGTCCCAGGGAAAGCCTGAGTGCCTGGGATCTCTCAGGGCATGGAATGGCTGACAGTCGTGTGTGTGCGCCTGTGTGGGAGCTAATCCTGGCAACATCTGCCAGGCTGTTTGCGATCCCAGGAGTTTCCGGCTGCAGGGAGGGGATGACTCGGTGCACGGGGAACACGTGCGTGCTGGCGTGTGCTGGGGCTCCCTGTGCAAGGCAGCCCCTGTGCAAGGAGGCTTCTGCGGTGGGTGTGTGCCTGCCCACGTGTGTCCTCTGTGGGCAGCAAGGCCCCAGGAAGGGACAAGTGGAATTGGGAACCTCAGCAAGCCCCTCAGTTCTGGGGATCCAGAAGGTGGATGGTGAGGGTTTTGGCTGTGATTTACGAGTCCTGGTGTGGCCATGTTCAGAGCAGCCCCAAAGAGGAGATGCTGGGGGATGAAAGGTGGTGTTTGCATCCTTGCTGGGGAGATGAGCTCCCAGGGAAATGAGACCTGGGAAGAAGAGGAGGAAAAATGAGCAGTGGGGCTGGGTGGGGGGAAGGACACTGCCCCTGATCTAATCAGCCAGACCTTGCAAATAAAAGCCACCTGTTTTGGCCCTGGCAGCAGGAAGCCATCCCCAGAACAAACAGAGCACCAAGCAACTGGGAGAAAGACAAACAGGGGCCGGCACCAGCTCCATCTGCTCCTGCTTGGCCCAGCCCCTGGACCTCCAGCCCCTTGGGAAGGCAGTGCAGCCCCCAGTGGGGTGGGAGGCAAAGAGAGAAGGGTTATCAGGGCTTGAGGGGGTGGCCAGGGCTCAAATCGTGACATCAGCCAGATGCAGGACCGAACACAGCTGTGCTGGCCTGATCAGTAAGCCCAGATACTCCTAAAAGTGGGAAAGAAAGCAGGCTGCCATGAGTCCCAGTTGTGTCTCAGATGTGGCATCAGCATCAGAATGTCCAGGCATCACCTGCCTCACCTTCCTCAGGGCTGCCTTCCAGCCTGCTCAGCTCCGCCAGCTGTGCACCATCCTGGGACCAGCACCTGTACAAGGCACAGGGTATAACCCCCTGGCTAGGGACCACAGACAGCAGGGTCTGGGCTTTGCACGGAGCAGCTGGGGACCTTGTCCTCCCACTGTGACCTGGGGCTGCCAGCCGCCCACACGGAGCCGGTGGCACAGAGAAACCCGATCTGTTTTGCTTGCACAGGGAACAGGCTGAGCCGGGAGGGATGCGGGGCCCTTATTAAATTAGCCTATGCAGGAGGCCCTGGGCGAGCTTTAACCACCTCCCAGAGCCAGTAATAGCAGCTGCCCTTGAGCAGAATTGCTGCCTGTCCCCACACAGCCACCCCCTGCCTGTGTCTCCTGCCTGTGTCCCCAGCCAGGCAGCTGTGGCTGGAGGATGGCAGGTGATCCAGCCACAGGGATGCTGGTTGGTGACAGGGACTGCCCAGAGGTGCTGGGAGATGGCCCAGGGAGGCCAGCCTGCGACAGCATCATGGGGTGCAGTGGGAAAGGGTTCTCATCATGGCTTCTGGTGGGTGACCCTCCTTATCCACTGCCCCAGGACACAGCTATGGCTCCCACATGGCTGCCCCAAATGTGCTGAGCTGGAGGGGTGTGTGGGGGTGTGGGTGGGTGGATATCCCAGTTTGTGGGACACATTGAGAACTGAGGAAGGGGCACACAGCTTGCATCTGGGGGTGGGTTTCTCCCTTGTGCCCCCCTCAATGCTCTTGTCCGAAGGATTTTATGGGGGTGACTGAGCTGCCTGCATTCCCCTCATGGCAGAACACCAGTGCCCTACAGATCCTGTAGCACTCTACACAGTGCCCTACACACCCCATACACACATCCCATACCAGCCCACAGCATTCTACATATCCTGTGGTGCCTCATGCCCCGGGACTCTAATACACCCCACAGTGCCCTGGACCCTATAGCCCCAGACTGCCCTCATATCCCAAAACACCCTAAACTAACCAGCGCCCCACACCTCTGCTCGCACAGCCCAGGTAAGGGGCAGCAGTGATGTTCGGGGACCATGCAGTGCACTAACTCTGCATCTTGCCCCACCTTCCCCAAGGGCTGCTCAAACTTGTCCCCCAGCACTTTGATGGATGTCTCCAGGCTACATCCCGGGGGTCTGCTGACCCCCATGCATCCCCTTCTCTCC